CACTCGACTCTCAATCTGAGGGTCGCGGGTACGAATCCCCGTCACACCAAACATGCTCGCCCTTTCAGCCGTAGGGGCGTTATAATGTTACGATATTCCACTATCCGTTGGTAAAAGAGTAGCCCAAGAGTTGGCGGTGGGTGGTGATGACTAGCTGCCTTCCCTCTAGTCTTACACTGCTAAATTAGGAACGGCTAGCGCAGATAGCCCTCGTGTAGGTTTACGCGAAATTCAAAAACAAACTAGCTGCCTTCCCTCTAGTCTTTCACTGCTAAATTAGGGAAGACTATTGCAGATAGCCCTCGTGTAGCTTTGCGCGAAATTCAAACCAGACAAAACGCTATCGTTTAAATATTACCCCACAAATTTGGCTATGACACGAAAAAGGTATGTTAATTAAAACTGCGGACAATGGACAATATTTAACATGCTGTGAGTAATGCAACAACAATGTAACAACGATTATTACCTAGGATTCAGTAACAATGCAAATAAAATAACAATTCCAGAGAGAAGGGAAGAGGTCTACGCTGAACCTGACCCTCCCTGGTCCAAAACATGGTCCGAATCCCGATGAAGAAAAAATAAATAGTTCAATCAACTAGGTTTCGATTTGGGTAAATACCAAATATAAAAATTTCATTCAACTGAATTTATCACGTAAATACGGGTCTAATAGGTATAATTTTATTTATGAACCAGCTCCATCATGCAAATACAGGTCTGTCAAATGTAATAATTTTATTCATGAACAAGCTTAATCACGTAAGTACAAGTCTGACAAGTTTATTTAATTTATACAACGATTAATTAGTAGTATTTTGTTTTTACTCTAACCTTCGGTTTCAATAAGTTTACGGATACAATAGTATCTTTACAGAGGAACCAGCTGCTCCCTCTGGTGTCAGGACTGTAGAAAAAACTGGAAGAACAATAACAATAAGATGGGATGAACCCATAAATGGTCATAGTCCCATCACTAGATACCACGTACAATACAAACAAAGAGATTCAGGTAAGCCTAAATATTCCTTCGCAATGCTAACGTTTATTTCATTAAAAGGTTTAACAGATTAATTATTATTCATTGTAATAACCTATTTAATTTGTTAATAAAATCATTTTAACTGCCATAACAGTTAATATAGAATATATATGTATAATTTTTACTAGTTAATATATATTTAATATTTATACATTTTAACGTAATTTATGGATTTTAGTAATTATTGCGGTTAAAAAAAGCTTGTCTTCTAATTCGTCTAGATACGTGGGAAAAGTTCACTGTGCCATCCAATAAAAACACAGTCGTTGTCGAAAACCTACTTCCGGCAAATGTTTACCATTTCCAAGTTGCCGCGGAGAATTCCATAGGGCTTAGCAACTACAGCGCCCTCTATACAGGAGAAACCGAAGAGGAGGGTAAAATTTGAAATTTGATACAACTTTTCTTGACCATACATTATAAACGCTCCCATCGAAACTTCGCATTCAAGAGATTAACTTCATATAATTTGGATTAAGTTACATCTTATTAAAAACGCAGCGCCATCTTTTGTGTGTAAATCAAATGTCAAATGTTTGTTTCAATGTCGTTGATCTTGTACGTACAAATTTAAAACATGTAAACAAATACAAACAGCAGGGTAATCGTGTCGTCTTGAACGTAACAGTGCAATTATTCACATAACGTTTTGGGGACAACATGGGACCTATTGGTCCATCCCGGCTGTTCTATCCTCTAAATTAAAGTATTAATAAATTAACTAAATAAATGAAACTAAATCTTAAAGCCAGCTCTTATCGTTCATATACTTCTCAAGCTTTCTCTTAAAAAATACTTAATTTTCATTTTTTCTACCATTTATAATAAAACATTCATTATTTAATGTAGTTATTTGCACTCAGACTCTG